TCAAATCCCGCTCACGACCAAAACCAGTGACAATTATCTCAACCGGTCCGGGGCCTCCCCTAGGTCGACTTAGCCTTGGCTGAGTACCTGGTGCTGTGTGTAAACATCGGCACTGGAGAGACAAAGGCAGCCGGGTGTGGTGGTGCTGGCCACCCACTCCATCGTGTGCTGTGCTGGTCTTCATATGTGCTTGCTAACAGCACTTGCCGAAACAGCCTATTGAAAGCTATAAGTAGGAGGATCTTTATCTTTGTATGTGTATGTGTGCACGTATAGAGTGTGTGTATGTATAGGGTTGCGTGTATGTGTGTGTATAGGAGTATTTGTATAGGTGCATGTGTGTGTGTAGTCGTGTGTGTGTATAGGGGTGTGTGTGTGCGTAGAACATCTGTCCCGGTTCGAAACATTCATGCTGGCCTGCCAATAATTAATCCTGGGTTTAACCAGCCTGGATTGTTTAAGGAGTTCCCAACTCATTGAAAGATCTGGACACAACCCCATCATTGAGCTTCTCCGGCAGGCGAGGCTGCGTTGGTTGGTTCATGTAGCCCACATGCTCGGTCACACGCATGCCCAAGCAGCTTCTCTTTGGCCGAATAGAGGGAGCTAAATAAGAGATGGGCTGGTGCGATACAGGAGGATGTGGACTTGCCTTTGACTGGTACTAGCAGTGTCAAGATCGACCTCTATGGTCGATCTTGACACAGCGACGTTTACAACCAGCGGAGCATCGGGTGGCCAAAATACAGCAAGTTGGCATAGTGGGGAGCAAAGGTGGCACATCTGGCAGTCATCTCCGTCAATCCATGGCACCTGGGTCTGTTCTGTGACCTCCTGCCAGCGAACTTTCGACACTTGCCATGGCCCCAAAGTGCACCTAGCCTGGCACAGGCGCTGCGGTGACGTCACCGCCACTTGATGGTGTCGCTGTTGTTGTTGTGCGTGTGTCGCCCTCTGGCCTCCCACCTTCACCGCCACTGCGCCGTGGCCCGCTGCGAGTTGGTACCCGCAGTCTCCGCGGGGGGCTCATTAAACGCGCTCGTTCGGCAAGTGCCTCCTCGCCCGCACCGCCACTTGACATTTAATTATCTGCCAGGGCGGAGTCTGGAAGCAGCGGGGGGGCGAGGGGGCAGGGGGTGGGGGGGGGGCCACAGCGACCCCCGTGGTTTGTTGTTTCTAACACAGCTGCTGTTGAGCCAAGGCGCAATATACGTCCAGCAACAAACGGCACTAACATAACAGTTTATATGGATACGAGTTTGCACCTTTCTTGGATTGAAGGTGAGTGTGTTGTTGTGACCTGCAGTGTGGTGAGTGACTGAGTGAATGGGTGGGTTGTTGTGATCTGCAGTGTGGTGAGTGGATGAGTGTGTTGTTGTGAGCTGCAATGTGGTGAGTGGGTGAGTGACTGAGTGAATGGGTTGTGTTGTTGAGAGCTGCAGTGTGGTGAGTGGGTGAGTGACTGAGTGAATGGGTGGGTTGTTGTGAGCTGCAGTGTGGTGGATGAGACGAAACAGTGAGTGTCTGGGAGAGACTGATTCCCCAACTCGGATGGAGGAAACGGTGAGTGAAGTTCATGGGCACAGTAATCAAGGTAGCAGCAACAGAAGAGTGATGAGGAGGCCAGTGACCGGCAGTGAGCAAGTGACTGAAGTGAATCGGTGAGTGCTGAATCCTTCCGCGCGTGTGCCGCTGGACGGGAGGTGATGGGTGGAGCTATGTGATGTCGTGGGCATCGTCCGCGTCGTCACACTGGGTGTGGGGGTTTCTGCCTTCGGGAGGCAGGATGTGAGGAGCGTCCGACATTTGTAAAAGCGCCTAAGAAATTGACCACGTTGATTAAGAGGGCGGACACTTTCTGTGTGTCCCTCCATGGAGGACGGGGGGTGCGGTGTCCCCCTCGCGGAGGAGGTGTAGTCCCCCTCATGGAGGAGGAGGCATCTCCCTCGCGGAGGAGGAGGAGGCATCCCGCCTGTGAAGGAGGAGGATGTTGAATAGTAGACCTGTAGGGGAAGTTGGATGCTGCTGTGTTGCCATGACAACGGCGAGTCGCAGCTTTATGAATGATTAATGCAACCGGGAAAAGGGGCTGTGGGGGGCTGGGGGCAGAGGGGGTGGGGGGTTGAATGTCGGGAGGGAGGTGAAGGATTTGGACAACGCTTGAGTCCGCTCAGTCGTCAGAGGCTGGTTGTGTGGCCCAGGTGACGGTCGCTCCCGTACCACGAGCAGCACCAGCCTACAACCACCTGCAGACACACATACCATCACGTACAGACAGAGACACCTACAACCACCTGCAGACACACATACCACCCCGTACAGACGGAGACACCTACAACCACCTGCAGACACACATACCATCACGTACAGACAGACACCTACAACCACCTGCAGACACACATACCATCACGTACAGGTACACACACATACAGTCACAGACACAGACACCTACAGACACATACACCTGTAGACACAGACACATACACCTGTAGACACAGATACCTACAGATACCTAAAGACACATACACCTGTAGACACAGACACATACACCTGTAGACACAGATACCTACAGATACCTAAAGACACATACCGAACATAAATACATACACATACAAACACGCATACACATATATAGCAGACATACATATACACACGTGCGCACGCCCTCACACATACTCAATCGCACAAAACAACAAGACAAAGATCCCCCGCATAGCCTTCAATAGACCATAAAGGCAAGTGCTGTTAGCAAGCACCTATTGAGACCGGCACAGCGCTCGTGCGCACACACGACACTCGCACGCCACCCACCTCACGCCACGCACCTCACGCCACGCACCTCACGCCACGCACCTCACGCCACGCACCTCACGCCACGCACCTCACGCATGGATCCACGCGATCACGCCGCCGCCGGCTCGGCGCCGGCTCCGTCGCCGGGCGGCGCCGCCCCACGCGGGCCCCCGTCCCCGGGCCGCGCCGGCCCCCAGGGCCGCGGTCGCGAGGCCGCCCGCTCCATCCTCAAGCGCGTCGTCTCCCGCTCCGACGACGGCCGCGGCACGGGCGCCCGGGGGCGTCGGCCCCGTCCGCCGGTGCGCAAGGCGGCCTCCCTGCACGGCCACCTGGACCGGGCGGCGGCGGCGGCGGCGGCGCCCCCGGCCCCGCGCTCGCCCTCCCCGCTGCTGCGGGTCGAGTCGCCCGGGAGCCCCTCGGGCGGCCGGCGGCGCCGGCTCTCGGTGTTCGACTCGCTGGCGACGGCGCTGCAGCGGCGCCGGCACTCGGCGTCGGAGGCGCTGCAGAGGATCTTCACGCGGCGCCGCAGCAGCTCGGCCGTGCGGGCGCTGTCACGCAGCTCGCACCAGCTGCTGGCGGCCGTGGCGGCCGCCAGCAGCTCGCGGGAGGGGGCAGCGCGGGACACCGGCGACTTGGGTTCCTCAAGTGTGTGTCCGTGTCTCGAGAGAGAGTGTGTGTCTCTCGAGTGTGTGTATCTGTCTCAAGAGAGTGTGTGTCGCTAGAGAGTGTGTGTGTGTCTCAAGAGAGTGTGTGTCTCAATAGAGTGTGTGTGTCTCAAGCGAGTGTGTGTGTCTCGAGTGTGTGTGTGTCTGTAGGAGTGTCTGTGTCTATAGGAGTGTGTGTGTGTCTGTAGGAGTGTGTGTGTCTGTAGGAGTGTGTGTGTCTCTCGAGTGTGTGTGTCTCAAGAGAGTGTGTGTGTCTCGAGTGTGTGTGTGTCTGTAGGAGTGTCTGTGTCTATAGGAGTGTGTGTGTGTCTGTAGGAGTGTGTGTGTCTGTAGGAGTGTGTGTGTCTCTCGAGTGTGTGTGTCTGTAGGAGTGTGTGTGTCTCTCGAGTGTGTGTGTCTCAAGAGAGTGTGTGTGTCTCGAGTGTGTGTGTCGCTATAGGAGTGTGTGTGTCTATAGGAGTGTGTGTGTCTATAGGAGTGTGTGTGTGTCTGCAGGAGTGTGTGTGTGTCTATAGGAGTGTGTGTGTGTCGCTATAGGAGTGTGTGTGTCTATAGGAGTGTGTGTGTGTGTCTATAGGAGTGTGTGTGTGTCGCTATAGGAGTGTGTGTGTGCCACTGGAGTGTCTCGCTTTATGATTGCGTACCCCCCCTGTAAGATGCACGCAGCCTCCCCCCCCCCCCCCCCCCTGGTGTGTGTGTTGCGGCGCTTGTGTGCTGTCATGTCGTCATTGTCGCTGTCGCTGCTACGTCGCGCTGCCTTCGCTACGCTGCAGTGGTTGTGATGCAGTCTGTGTGCGTGAGTGCCACGCTCCGGTAGCCGTGTTTCCACGTGGTGGTGCTGTCGTGCCCTGTGCCGTAGCGAGGCCAGTCGCGGTGCTGTAAGTACCACGTTTATTGAATTGAGCAAGGTTATTGTGTTATAAGAGCTTGGGAGGGGGGGGAATAGGTTGATTGAAGGGGATTCCAAAGTGAAGCGGTGCGACACAAGACGAGGAAAGAGAAGTGAGATGACCTGCAGTGTGGTGAACGAGTGGGTGGGTGAGTACGTGAGTGGGTGGGTGAGTACGTGACTGGGTGTGTGGGTGATTGCGTGGGTGGGTGATTGCGTGGGTGGGTGAGTGGGTGGGTGCGTGGGTGGGTGAGTGCGTGAGTGGGTGGGTGGGTGAGTGCGTGGGTGGGTGATTGCGTGGGTGGGTGAGTGGGTGGGTGGGTGAGTGCGTGGGTGGGTGGGTGAGTGCGTGGGTGGGTGGGTGAGTGGGTGGGTGAGTGGGTGAGTGGGTGGGTGGGTGAGTGTGTGGGTGGGTGGGTGAGTGCGTGGGTGGGTGAGTGCGTGGGTGGGTGAGTGGGTGGGTGAGTGCGTGAGTGTGCGGGTGAGTGAGTGTGCTGTTGTGACCTGGTTGCGGTTGTTGCACACGGTGTGGTGGATGAGATGAAGCAGTCTCGGCTGACCGGTGTACGTTGGTGCGGCGGCGGTAACAGCGGTGGGGGTGGGGGGTGTTGCTACCCTGGCAGGTTCCGCGCGGCGCCCGACGGCCAAGTACACGAAGGTGGGCGAGCGCTTGCGCCACGTGATCCCGGGACCCGTGCAGTGCTCCGTAGCATGCGGGGGCCGCGCCTGCAAGTACGAGAATCCGTCCCGCCTGCGCGCCGACGAGCAGGCCGTGCGTGGGGTGTACTCCTCCTGGTGGGAGCGCCATGCTCGCGTGCGCACGCATGCATGTGTACAGAGGCGCACGCACGCGTACAACGTACGCTCGCATACAGACACGCACACTCATGTGCACGCACGTACAGATACGCAAATTTGCAACAACAACAACACCCAATCTTCTCATTAACACAGCCGCTGCTGCGGGAGCCGTCTCACATTGGCATGCTGATCTCTAAGCTCTAGCAATATAATAGCCGCTTCTTGAGCACCGTAGTCGTGAGGTATATCAGCTCTCCGATCTTACATTTACATGCAAATTCCATCTCTAGCCCCGGCCACTTACCCTTGGCTTGCACCGATCTCAAACCTATTATACAACCTCTTGCTGCAGCAGCACGAGATGGACCCAGGTGTGGGTGGCCAGCATCACGCTCGGCCACAATAGCACACGCACTATGGCAGTGGCATGTACAAAGTCAGAAATCCCCCGTATAACCTTTACAGATTAAATTTCGACTTTACAGATTATTTGGGCAAGTGCTGTTAGCGGGTAGCACCTATGAAGGCCGGCTCCGCACACGAGGAGGTTGTGTGGCCACCACCACGCTCAGCCGCAGGAGCACACGCACTCTCTCGCAGTGGCGTGCGCACACACACACTCGCAAACGATGGCACACACGGGGTAGCTGCGCTGGCGTGTGACCGTGTGCGCGCGCTGTGACCCCGTGCGACGTCAGGGTCACCGAGAACATCCTGGCCATGGCTCGCCCGTCCACGGAGACCATCGAGAAGTACGACGTCATCGAGCAGTTCAAGAGGTGCGGGGGCGGGGCTGGGGGGCACGGAGGGTCAGGGGGCACGGAGGGTCAGGGGGCACAGGCGCAGGCATGCTATTGGGACCCAGGGATGGGGGGTGGGTTAGGCGGTCAATGGGTGGGTAAGGGAGTACAACCGGCACACTTGCATGGCGGGGAGATGAAGCCGGCGTGGCGCTGGCCACGCACCCCCTCCTGCGCCGCGCTGACCTTCATCGATGCTACACGGTGGGGTGTTTGTCTTTGTGTGTGCAGTCTGGGTATCAGCACGGTGATTAACCTGCAGTGGCCGGGGGAGCACGCGAGCTGCGGCTTCCCCCTGGAGGAGGAGAGCGGCTTCACCTACCTGCCTCGCGTCTTCATGGACAACAACAGTGGGCGCTCGTCCACACGCGCGCGCACTCGCACTCTACGCAGATCCCGGTGGACTCGGCTGTGATTTCAAAAACTCTGTTCCTGTGTCCCCCACCGTTTCCCCTGGGCCGTTTGTGAAAAGTGAGGATTGTGTTGCTTTTTTGTAAAATGTTCTGCAAGGGCCGGAGTTGAGAAACACTGCCCCCGACAGAGAACACAGGCTCGCTTTAACGGACCGGCGTGCCCAACTTGTTTGCGTAACTCTCTCCCTTTTGCCTTTGCAGTCTATTTCTACAACTTCTGCTGGAAGGACTATGGCGTGGCGTCGCTCACCACCATCCTCGACATGGTCAAGGTCATCACCTTTGCCCTGCAGGAGGGGAAGGTGGCGATCCACTGCCACGCCGGCTTGGGGCGCACCGGTGGGCGCCAGACGGCAACCCGAGTTCGATTCCCCCTGTTGCCGGCCAACGTCAGTGACGGATACCTGAAGCGGTCCTCCATTTCCACTCGGGCCTGGGCCTCATCGAGGTTGACGCTACATGAGTACCTGGTGCAGTGTGTGAAACATCAGAACTGAAGAGACAAAGGCGGCAGGGCATGGTGCTGGCCACCCACCCCCTCGTATTCCGCGCCTGCCTTCATAGGGGCTCGCCAACAGCACTTGCCCCAACGGGCTGTGTAATGACAACCTGGTGCGGCGGGTTCACCGGTGTGAGTGGGAATCAGCCTTAATCACTGCGCCACCACTCTCCCCCCCTAACCCTCCCCCCGCCACCCCCACACAACGCAGGTGTGCTGATCGCGTGCTACCTGGTGTTTGCGGGGCGCATGCACCCGGACCAGGCCATCCTGTACGTGCGCGCACGCCGCCCCAACGCGGTGCAGACGCGCGGCCAGCTGCTGTGCGTGCGCGAGTTTGCTCAGTTCCTGGCGCCCCTCCGCTCCGTCTTCAGCTGCATGGCATGGGCCCCCCCCGCCGAGCCCCTCACGCCGGGCCCCGCCTGGCCCGCCCCCACGCCCTACCGGGCCCCGCCGGTCACGCTCTCGCAGTACCTCATCCGCCAGAGGCACCTGCTGCACGGGTGGGTGTGCTGGTGGTGCTGGTGGTGGTGGTGGTGGTGGCGAGGGTTGGCACGCGGGGAGGGTGGTGGTTGTGTTGGCACAGGTCTCCGTCGCTCACTTCCTCCTTTAATCCCCCTTCTTAATGCAATTCTCTCTCCATCGGCCTCATTCCATTCCTCCGTCTATGCCTCTGTCTCTTCCTGCATTGCTTCTTTGCCCCTTTCTTCTGTCGCTCCGCCCTACTAACCCCCTCCCTTCCTCCCAATGTCTTTGTGTCCGAATCTTTTTTATTGTGTCCGCATCATTGTCTGCGTGTCCTTGGGTTAATATCTGTGCTTCCGCATCCTTGTCTTTGTCCTTATCCGTGTGTCCGTGTGTCCCTGTTCTCGAGCGCAGCTATGAGGCCCGACGCCTGAAGCACGTGCCCAAGATCGTGCACCTGGTTTGCCACCTACTGACGCAGATCGCCAACAATGCATGCCCTCCCACACACGGGTGCGTGACCACCGCACAGACACCGCACCTCCACCGTACCGCACCACGCACACCGTGCCTCCTCCAACACGTGACACCACTCGCCACACGACCGCACCGCCACACTCCGCGGTGACGTCCGGGCGATGTCGTGCCGTGGCTGCGGCGGCAGGGACGGCGGCTCGGACTCGTCGGACGGCGAGGTGGAGGTGCCCGACCTGACGGCGGAGATCGAGAAGACGGTCTCCCAGCTGGCGCTGCTCTGCTTCGAGCCCGACGCCGCGCTGCTTCCTGACTCCGCAGACGAGGAGGAGGGGGAGGAGGAGGAGGGGGAGGAGGAGGAGGGGGCGGGGGGGCCCGCGGACCCCGGCGGCCACGGCACCCTGGCCCCCCGGTGGCCTCGGGGCGGCCGCACCGCGGCGGGCGCCCGGCGGCCCGGCCCGCGCAGGTTCAGCTACAGCGACTCGGACCTGAGGAGGGCGGGTGCCGGCGAGGGCCCGCGGGAGGCAGGCCCCGCGAGCCCGGCGGGAGAGCCCCGCTTTGCCGCCGGGGTCCCCCCCCGGCCGGGCGGCCCCGCGGAGCTGGGAGGGGCGGTGGGAGAGCGGACGGCGGGGCGCCGGCGCGAGGACGGCGAGCGCGGCGTGGCTGGCGGGAGGGCCGGCGGGAGGGCCGGCGGGAGGGGCGGCGGAGCCGACCCCCGCACGCTGTTCTACCAACGGCTGGGCGACGGCGCCTCCGGGACGGCGGACCCCCCTCTCGTCGCGGTGCCGCCGCTCCCTCGGGACCCCCCCCCGCCGATCGTGCTGCACAGCCCCAGCGACGAGTCGCAGCCCGAAGAGGGGGACGGCGTTCGCGTCGGACGGTCGGGTCCCGCCGCCGGGCCCGCCGGGAGGTCCGCGGTGGCGACGGCGTCCGAGGGCGAGGAAGAGGAGGTGGCGGTATCCGCGGTGGCGCCGGGTGGGGAGGTGGCGACCGCGCCGGAAGACGGGACCCGGCGCCGCTACGGCGGCGGCGGCGGCGCCGGCAGGGCGGACGACGCGACGCCGCCCGGCCCCTCTGGCGGGGCCCACCGTCGGACCGGTGGGGCGCGGCAACCGGCGCCCAACGGCACGTGTGTGCCGGAGCGGGAGGGCCGGGAGTCTCTGCCCCGGCGGCAAGAGCAGCAGAAACGGTGGCAGCAGCAGCAGCAGCAGGAGCAGCGGAGGAGGGTGAGGAGGCACCAGCGCCGGAGCCCGTCGCCCAGGGAGGCGGTGACGCGAGCGGACACGCCGCCGGGGTCGCGCGGTGGCACCGGGGGGGGCGCCCGGGCCTCGGAGGGGAGCGAGGGGGAGGGGGACGGGCCCTCGGTGGGGGGGAGAGGGGGGCCCCGCCGGCTGGAGGTGGCGCAGGCGCTGGCAGAGGAGACGCCAGAGCCGGGGTGTGCGCTGTGGGAGAGGGTGGCTGCGTGGCAGGTGGGCGGGTGTAACAGTGAGTGTGCATGGTGTAGCGGTTAGCACGGTGTAGCGGTTAGCGTGCTGCGCTACAAACCCAGCGACCCGAGTTCGATGCCCGCTCACGGTCGACACCCAGTGACGATTATCTGAACCGGTTCTTGGCCTCCCCTAGGTCGACTCAGCCTTAAATGAGTACCTGGTGCAATGCGTAATTATCGCAAAGGCGGTCGGGTGTGGTGTTGCATAGGTGCCCGCTAATGGCACTTGCCCCAAAAGTCTGTGAAGGCTACATGGGGTGGCAGGTGGGCGGGGGAGAGGATATTTGCCGTTCATTCCCATGCGCTGCGTGCCAAGTGCCCTGTGTTGTGCCGCGTGTGCCGTGCGTGTGCCGTGCGGTGTGCCGTGCGTGTGTGCCGCCTGCCACGTGCGTCGTCGTCGTCGTCGTCGCCACGCGTGCCGCTGCAGCGGGATCTGAACTGGCGCGAGGGAGCGTGGGAGCGGCTGTGCGGCGAGCGCCGCCCGGCCGTGCTCGCCGCCCTCCTGTTCTCGTGGCTGGAGCAGCTGCGCGAGCCGGCGCTGGGCCACGCCGACCTGGAGCGCCTGCACGAGGCGGGCGACGCCCGCGGGGTCGGCCCTGCCACGCGGGCGCTGCAGGCACTCAGCAAGGTGCCGCCACGCGCGTCCGTACGCACGCACGCATACCACGTGCACGCACGCATACCACGTGCACGAGACGTGCACGCACGCATACCGCGTGCACGTGACGTGCGTCGAGACGTATTCGCGCACACGCGCACATGCATACATACTCGTGTGTATCAGGTCAAGCAGTTTATTCCAGGTGAAGCGCATCGAGCTGAGAAGTTATTTTCAGTGGCGACCCAGCCGCTTCTCAAGCAGGGACATTTTATTAACGCGACTAATCATTAATAATAATAAACAACCACATTAAACTATTTTAACAGTTCCCAGGTCTGCCGGGCGTGGTGCTACCGCCCACCCCCTCGTGTGCCGTGCTGGCCTTCATAGGTGCTCTCTAACAACACTTGCCCCAGCAGTCTGCTCAGGCTATCGGGGGGGTCTTTGTCTTTGGTCCCCAGGGCCAGGAGCAGACGGTGCTGTGCGTGATGGACTGTGTCGCCGGGCTGGGGCCGCTGCCTCCACAGCTGGAGGACGCGCTGCTGTGTCGAGTGGCACGCGCGCTCACACAGGTGCGGGTCGGTGGGGGATGAGTGGGGAGTGACACACGGAGAGGGACACGGGGTCACGAGGCGCGATGCACGGAGCGCCGCGGTGCTGGGTGGGGGGGGGTAATATGGGGGGTGATGCAAGGGACAACACAGGGAGTGACACATGGGGGTGACAGAGGAGCAGTGGGCGACAGAGGAAGGGACTGAGGATGACACGAGGGCTGTTGACACGGCGAGAGTGACGGAAGGGCAAACGACACGGGGAGTGACGCAGGCGGTGACGCGGTGGCCCCTCTGTCATCCCGCAGGTCGGCCTGGGAGGCTCCGGTGGGGAAGAGGAGGAGGAGGGGGAGGAGGCCGTGGCGGGGGCCCTGAGGGCCCTGCTGGGGCCCCTGCTGGTGGAGCGCAGAGGAGAGGCGGCGGTGCGGCGGCGGCGCTAGCGGCACGACCCCACCCCCCCCCCCCCACTAACCCCTGCTCCCCTAATGTCGGGAATGGTGGAGTGTTGTGGGCCAGGAGATGGGACCCCGGGTGTGTGGCCAACACCAGTGAAGATGATTGAACCGGTCCTGGGCCTCCCCTAGGTCGACTCGGCCTCAAATGAGTATCTGATGCGGAGTGTAAAATCGCCACTTGAGAGACGTAGGCGGTTGGTTGGACGTGGTGCTGGCCACCCACGCTCTCGTGTGCCGTGCCGGCCTTTATAGGTGCTTGCTTAGCACTTGCCCCCAACTGTCTATTGAGGTTATATGGGGGATCTTTGTCTTTCTTTGGTGTGGCGTTGTGAATTCCAGTGCATATCTGTGTGTGGCGAGTGGTGGCACAGTGGTTAGTGCACTAAACTTCAAACCTCGACAGCCGAGTTTTCGATTCCAGCCCATGGTATCAGAACTGGTCCCGGGCCTCACCTAGATTGACTCGGCCTTAAATGAGTACCTGGTGCAGTGTATAAACGTCAGCACTGGGGAGACTATAGTGGCTTGGCGTGGTGCCACTTACTCGGTGCTCGCCGCAACGGTCTGAAAGATCAGGAAGGGGATCCGTGTGTCAGTGTGCTTGTGTGTGTCTGTGTGCTTGTGTGTCTGTGTGCGTGTCAATCTGCTTATGTCTGTGTGCTTGTGTCAATCTGCTTGTGTTTCTGTGTGCTTGTGTGTCTGTGTGCTTGTGTCAATCTGCTTGTGTGTCTGTGCTTGTGTCAATCTGCTTGTGTTTCTGTGTGCTTGTGTGTGTCAATCTGCTTGTGTGTTTCTGTGTGTTTGTGTGTGTCAATCTGCTTGTATGTGCTTGTGTTTCAGTGTGCTTGTTGGTGTGCGTGCTTTAGGGTGTTTGATGTCAATGTGGAGCAGCGGTTTGGGCATTGCGCCACAAATGCAAGCACCCGTTGGATTCCAGACCACGGCCAACACCAGCGGCGAGCAAGAGCCACACGGGCTCTGTGGGCCCACCCCTTCGCCAGACTGCACCGACCGGCGGTGATCAAGTCTCGTCACACAACCCTCTTGACCGACACGGCGTGGGGAGACCTTCATCCAGCAGTGGATTGATCAAGGGCTGTACAGTGTATTTATTTTGTAGTTGCCGGTGTCTCAGTGCGTACCGTTATGTACGTGTATCACAGCGTCTGCGGTCGCGTGTTTTGGCACACGCGCGTGCCATCGTGTTCCCGTTAGTGGTGAGCGTCCGCGAGTTCGATTCCAGGCCACGGCAAACATCGGCGACGAGCAAAATCACAGCCTGTCCCGAGCACGCAAATCGGTTGTAAAGGAGTACCCTGTGCGATGTGTAAACATCGGCGTTAGGGAGACAAAGGTGGCCGGGCGTGGTGCCGTCCACGCCAACCCGTCACGCGCGCCCGTTCATAGGTGCTCCCTAACAGCACTTGCCCCGACAGCCTTCTGAAGGCTATACGGGGGACTTTGTGTCAGTTGCCGGGCACGGCCTGCAGAGTGGGAGCCCGAGTGTGGTTGGCGGGGGCACGTCAGTGGCGCCGGTGTCGTTATTCATTTGTCGTCCGCTCGTGAATATTCCCAGCGCTGGGAGCGAAAATAAAAACGATAGCGAAGCGAGGGCGAGTCTGACTCAAGACCGTGGGACGCAAACACCACGCAGACACGACGGCACGTGCGGCAGACACGACGGCACGTGCGGCGGTCACAGTTGCACCCAAGCACTCGACAGGACACACGAGGAATGTGAGGCCCGCCACGATTTCATCTGAAGCTTTATTACAAAAACGTGGGAGGCTGCCCGGGGTATGTACACGCGGCGGCGGCCGCCTACAGGCCCAGCAGGCAGCGAGCCTCCTGGCTCTGCGCCTGCAGCGTCTCGCTGGCGTACTTGGCCAGCAGTTCCATCTTCCTGCGCTGGAGCAGCGCCTCCTCCACCTGTGCGGCGCGGGGGAGTGGTTAGCGCGCTGCGCCATGACCTGGTGACCCGAGTTCGATTAACGCTCACGGTCAATGCCAGTGACTTATCTAAATCTGTCTTGGGCCTCCCCTAGGTCGACTCGGCCTCAAATGATTACCTCGTGAGATGCGTAAACATCGCGACTGGGGAAACAAAGGCATCTGGACGCGGTGCTGGCCACCACCCACCCCCTCGTGTGCCGTGGCAGCCTTCACAGCTGCTCAGTCTGTTAAGGCGATACGGGGTACGTTTGTCTTTATTTCGACATGGCAAACACATGCATGGCACATGTTGGTAAATGGGTCCACCGGACGAGCCATATCGTCTCATCCATACAGTGGTGGTCAACCACTGTATGGTCTCAACAACAGACTATCTCGCCGACTCAACTACTCATTCACTCACCCATTCACTCAACGATTCACTTACCCACCCATTCACTCATGCACCAACTAATACACACCGACCCACTCATTTACTGATCCACACACTCATTCACCCACCCACTCAACCACTCATTTATGCACTCACCCCCCCATTCACCCATACCCTCTGATTCACCCACTCACACACCCACACCCAGGGCCCTCACCTCCTTCTGTGTGGGCACCGGGACGTGAGCGATGAAGTGCTGCTGCTGCTGCTTGTCCCGCGTCTCCCCGCCACTGCCCTCTTCCTCATCCTCATCCGACTGGGGGGGGGGGGGGGGGGCAGCGCATGGGATGCATGGAGCAAGGTTACCACCGAAATGCCGCCGCTGCTACGGTTACCACGGCGACGCCGATCACGACGGAAACTCGTTACCCGCCGCTCACCTCGCCTCTCGTCACCGCGTAGATGTCCTCCTCCTCCTCCTCCTGCGCCGCGGCCGTCTTGTCCCCGCCAGCGGCCGCTCGGGCCTCTCGCTCCTCGCGCCAGCGCGCCACCGCCTGCGCGACCACTGCGGCAACCGCACGCAACGCAAACGCTCTGCCAACCGCCACCTCGCACATGGGGGCCGGCACCGCAAGGAGCGCCGATCGTTCACGCGGTAGTCAACGCCACGCCCGTTGGCCCCCACCGTGCCACAAGGTGTCCATCTGTCAAACGTCTAAAGTTTCTCAAGTGCGCGGCGCAGGACGGAGTTTGATGGCGATCGGTCGAAGCGTGTCGGTGACCACCTGTGGGAACCAAATTGAGCGTGCGTACCGAAATAGTCTTCGCCCATGAGCCAGGGCCCATCCTGTAGTGTTGCTAGTGAGAACAGCGTTCTTTGTGTGCTATGGGTGAGGGCTAGTGGTGAGCCTGCTGGTGAGAGAAGAATGGTGGTCAAGGGTCGATGCTGGTGGTCAGGATTAGAGCTGGTGAGCTTGAGGACTCGCGAGAATAAGGAAGTCGGTGGTGAGGGTTGTGGTGGTGGTGTTTGCGAGCGAGGGCCGATGGTGACGGTAAGAAAAGGTGGCGAGGCTTGGTGCTGGTATGAGAGGCTGATGGCGAGGCTGTCGGTGACTGCGTGTCGGCGAGGCCTGCTGGCGAGGCCTGCTGGTGAGGCTACTAGCTAGAGTACTGGGGGTGAGTGTGAGTGCTGGGGGTGAGTGCTGGGGGTGAGTGCTGGGGGTGAGTGCGAGTGCTGGGGGTGAGTGCGAGTGCTGGGGGTGAGTGCAAGTGCTGGGGGTGAGTGCGAGTGCTGGGGGTGAGTGCTGGGGGTGAGTGCGAGTGCTGGGGGTGAGTGCGAGTGCTGGGGGTGAGTGCGAGTGCTGGGGGTGAGTGCGAGTGCTGGGGGTGAGTGCGAGTGCTGGGGGTGAGTGCGAGTGCAGGGGGTGAGTGTGAGTGCTGGGGGTGAGTGTGAGTGCTGGGGGTGAGTGTGAGTGCTGGGGGTGAGTGTGAGTGCTGGGGGTGAGTGTGAGTGCTGGGGGTGAGTGTGAGTGCTGGGGGTGAGTGTGAGTGCTGGGGGTGAGTGCTGGGGGTGAGTGCTGGGGGTGAGTGCGAGTGCTGGGGGTGAGTGCGAGTGCTGGGGGTGAGTGCGAGTGCTGGGGGTGAGTGTGAATGCTGGGGGTGAGTGCGAGTGCTGGGGGTGAGTGTGAGTGCTGGGGGTGAGTGTGAGTGCTGGGGGTGAGTGCGAGTGCTGGGGGTGAGTGTGAATGCTGGGGGTGAGTGCGAGTGCTGGGGGTGAGTGCGAGTGCTGGGGGTGAGTGCGAGTGCTGGGGGTGAGTGTGAATGCTGGGGGTGAGTGTGAATGCTGGGGGTGAGTGTGAGTGCTGGGGGTGAGTGTGAGTGCTGGGGGTGAGTGCGAGTGCTGGGGGTGAGTGTGAATGCTGGGGGTGAGTGCGAGTGCTGGGGGTGAGTGTGAATGCTGGGGGTGAGTGCGAGTGCTGGGGGTGAGTGTTGGGGGTGAGTGTGAGTGCTGGGGGTGAGTGTGAGTGCTGGGGGTGAGTGTGAGTGCTGGGGGTGAGTGCTGGGGGTGAGTGCTGGGGGTGAGTGCGAGTGCTGGGGGTGAGTGCGAGTGCTGGGGGTGAGTGCGAGTGCTGGGGGTGAGTGCTGGGGGTGAGTGCTGGGGGTGAGTGCGAGTGCTGGGGGTGAGTGCGAGTGCTGGGGGGGAGTGCGAGTGCTGGGGGTGAGTGCGAGTGCTGGGGGTGAGTGCTGGGGGTGAGTGCTGGGGGTGAGTGCGAGTGCTAGGGGTGAGTGCGAGTGCTGGGGGTGAGTGCTGGGGGTGAGTGTGAGTGCTGGGGGTGAGTGCTGGGGGTGAGTGCGAGTGCTGGGGGTGAGTGCGAGTGCTGGGGGTGAGTGCGAGGGCTGGGGGGGAGTGCGAGTGCTGGGGGTGAGTGCTGGGGGTGAGTGTGAGTGCTGGGGGTGAGTGCGAGTGCTGGGGGTGAGTGCTGGGGGTGAGTGCGAGTGCTGGGGGTGAGTGCTGGGGGTGAGTGCGAGTGCTGGGGGTGAGTGCTGGGGGTGAGTGCGAGTGCTGGGGGTGAGTGCTGGGGGTGAGTGCGAGTGCTGGGGGTGAGTGCTGGGGGTGAGTGCGAGTGCTGGGGGTGAGTGCGAGTGCTGGGGGTGAGAGCGAGTGCTGGGGGTGAGTGCGAGTGCTGGGGGTGAGTGTGAGTGCTGGGGGTGAGTGCGAGTGCTGGGGGTGAGTGCGAGTGCTGGGGGTGAGTGCTGGGGGTGAGTGCGAGTGCTGGGGGTGAGTGTGAGTGCTGGGGGTGAGTGTGAGTGCTGGGGGTGAGTGCGAGGGCTGGTGAGCGCAAGACGGCACATGCGCCCCCCCTCACCCTCCTTCTCAAGCGCCTGCTCGAGTGGCACCAGCACGCCGTCGTCCTCATCGCGGTAGCCGTAGTAGTCGGCGTCGATGTCCTTCATGAGCTCCCCACGCGTCTTGCGGGGGGCCTTCAGGGCTGGGGGGGGGGGGGGGCAGGGGGGCACACGGTCATCACTGCTGACTCGGCGTCCACTCATTCGGTCGTGTCGCACGGCAGTGCCGGCCATCTCGCTCACGAGCGTCGGTGTGGCAAATGGAGTCTTGTGTGTCTCGGGGAAATGGTGACGTCGTGGTTAGTGCAACTGCACTACGAACATGACGACCCGGGTTCGTTTCCCGCTCCTGGACAATAACAGTGGCGAATATCTGAACCGGTCCTGGGCCTCCCCGTGGTAGACTCAGCCTTAAATGCGGAGTGTAAACATCGTAATTGGGGAGCCGAAGGAGGCCGGGCGTGGTGCTGGCCACCCACGCTCTCGTACGCCGCTCCAGCCTTCATAGGTGCTCACTGACAGTAATTGCCCCAACAGTCTGTTAAATGCTATACGGGTAATCTTTGTCTGTATGTGTTTTTACATCTTTGTGTCTGTGTGTTATGTGTCTGCGTGTCATCTGGCTCAGCAGCTGAAGAACCTCGGTACATCATATTTCCTCTAAGTCCATTGTACGGTTGTGTGGTTTTCTGGTTGTGTGGTTTTCTGGTTGTGCGGTTGTGCGGTTGTGGTTGCCTGCGCCACTCACGCTCCTGGTCAAAGAGCTCGCGGACTCCGGGTAGCTCGCGAGCTGCCCCAAAGTACTTGTAGCCACGGTTCCCCGGGACCTCCTTCCCCTCGTGGTCCAGCATCTTGGGACCGATCCTCTGGAGAGTGGGACCAGAGTGAGCGCAACACCAACAGTAACAATAATACAGATTGATCACGGATCTTTGTGTTAGGCCACGATCTGGCCAAATATACATGATCACAACCAGAGATCATAATCAGCCATGGTCAATCTACTGCTGGATAAACGCCTCCCCCCAAGCCACGGCCGCCACCTCCCACGATCACACATTCCATCCAGGACCTGAGCGTGGGACTGCTCTTACCGCTCCATCTTCACGGTAGACGTCTGGTAGAGCCAACCCGACACGGCCAAAAATATTAAATGTCGTGTGTATACACGCGTCTAACTGCGTGTCGATTGTTGTTCCAGGACAATTCTCACTGCAAAATGTAGGAATATAGAGATACGTGGTAACGCAATTATGAATCACAATGGCCGAGAAACCCTACAAGATAATTATAATGCTCTCCCGTGTTTTATCTTGTTGTATGACACGTCGCTTGGCATGATGTCCGACGGTTTCCCACCACCGCCCGGCATCGTGCGGAGCAGCGGCGGTTGTGACACCGTGTGTAGTGCGGCACTGCGGCAGCGCGTACC